ATTGGCAAGGGTAATACTACTATTGATACTTTCATATTTGAATTAATTGATGAGAAAATAGTTTAGGAAATGAGGGATAAAAGTTATAGCACATTCCATATGATCTTGATAGTTTATCTACGGAATTGGGGGCTCATATCTCTCACCCCATAAATCACGCAAAATCAATTGTACATATTCAATCTTACAAAAGAGGCAAACCATAAGAAACCTTAAGAAACCCTAACTTCATTCAAGCACTATATAAAGAGGTGCCCTCTCCCATCTTTCCTATACTAAAATCTCTTCTCTCTCTCCCATAAGATTATAGAGGGGCATGCCCCAACCATAGAAAGTTTCTCTCTCTTCGTCCATAAGGGCCACACCCCAACTTTGGTTCTCTCCCATCTTCCATCTCTCACATAGCCTAAAGGGTTAAGGGTTTAGTAATGAGATATATATCTCACAACTAGGTTATCGAGGGATTAAAGCCTTAATTTGAGATCTAAGTTTTGAAAGGAGTCCTTGTTCTATTAGAGGGTTTGACCTATTTGTTTTCTCATGTTTGAGATTGAAGGTTAACTATAGATCCCGCGTCATTGGAAAGTGGTCACTCGGTATAAGGTGTAATAAGCCCGGTTGAGGTAATATCCGACACCTTTTTTCTTATTTCTTGCCATATTTATTTCTTATGTCTTTAATTATTCTCAAACATTTTTTGTGGGTTTCTTTGATTGATAAAAGAGTGATTTTAAATGGCATCAAGTTTTAGATCCTAAATTTGTTTTTCTTTATTTCTTTTTAAGTCAATTTATTGTAATGGATTACTTGTGCGTGTTTTAAGTCGGAAAAGAACAAAAAAAGAGGGAAACATATATATATATATATATATATATATATATATATACCGGTTAAATCACATAAGTCCAACTTTCAATAATAGCTTGCATGCCCCCATAGAAGCAACCACTCCAAAACTTAGTGAAAGATATGGTTTTATAAGCCATCTCTTCCACCAATTAAACATGCCCTTAGATTATTTTGAGAGAATTAGACAAAGAGCTACTTGAGACAATTTACGATTTAGAGAAGGATTTGAAAGAAAATTTCAAGCATAAGCACCTAATGGTTTGTTAAACAAGGTTTGTTGTAGTGGAGTTATATTGCACAATGCACAAAATGTTCATGTAACTTTAATGCTCTTACAATGTCTACAATACTTTTTTGAGGTTTTAGTGACTGGATCCTTGCTTAGGCTAGAAAGGCTTGTTACGAGTCTAATCTCATGAATATCCCACTCTCATTTCATGAGAGGTATTACTAGCGTTTGGATCGAAATTTTGGGACTGAAAAGTATTTTTGCCTGTAATTATTCTACTCATTTCAAGCCAAAAATAAAGAAATTTGTATTTACCCTCTGAAATTGATTTTCAGTCAGATTTCCCTATTAAGGAGACGCCCACTTTATAAAATACAATTAATTGCACAAAAACCCCCCAAATTATATCAAATTTTACATTTTACAGAGAGAAAGAATCTTAAAATTTTAGAAAGATAAACTATTTTAATTTTAGAGAGGAAACTATCGAAAATTTTAGAGAGAGACATTATCTCAAAGTTTTTAAAGAGAAACTATTTCAAATATTAAGTTTTAAATGAGAAAATATTTTTAAATTTTAGAAAGAGAAACTTTATCGAATTTAGAAAGAACTATTTAAAAAAGTTTTAGAAAGAGACTATCTCAAATTTTCTAGAGAAAGAAACAGTTTCAAATTTTTTTAGAGAGAGAAACTATCTCAACTTTTTAAGTTTTATAAAGAAAAAGTACTTGAAAATTTTTAGAGAGATAAACTATCTCAAATTTTAAGTTTTATAGAGAGAAAGTGCTTGAAACTTTTGAGAGAGAGATGAACTATCTCAAAATTTTTAGAAAAATACTATTTCAAAATTTGAGTTTTAGAGAGAAAATATCTTAAAATTTTAAAGAAAAACTCTCAAGTTCCTGGTTCCCATCCGCACCAACGTTTTTTTTTTTTTTTTTTTGAAGATATGAGGTGAGGCTGGGGGTGCACCTTAGTTTGATGGAAAATGGTTTGATAGGGCTCCGAGGGGGGCCAAGTGGTTGGACAATAAAGTTGCAATCGGTTACTGAGTCCAGGAAGAAGATGCACGGATGTCCTTGCGGTCATTTCAAGGCATGATAACGATATTTGTGACAAAGAAATATCACGTACGATGTTGGAAAATGTTTCAATAGAGCTGCAGCCAAATCAAAATAAGTAAAGCCATGCCTCAATTTATTGAGCATTGTAAATTATTTTGCTTTTTATGAGAGGAAATAAAAAGATTTTAAATGTGCATTTTACAACATATTATCTACACAGTCTATTTTCATGATTTTCATATGTCTATAGATCTATTTGATTTTAACCATTTTTTAAATTTAAAATTTTATACTTAGATATAAAAATAGATTTTAAGATAACACTAAGATATTTTACATCAAAACTATATATTATGATAAAATTTGAAGGTGGATTGTTTAAGGTCGCAACCTTATGAAACCACGCCCCTCTTTTCATTCCAAAACCCATCGAAAGGATACATGGTAGTAGGCCAACAAACAAGACAATAATTGTTACGCATTATTGTCATCAGTAAACGCCAGGCTCATTCATGAGGAGATCACGATCTTGTCCGATCTAATTTTAAATCAGGCAGTAGTAACCATGTCATTGACTAGACTCAAAGTTCAAAAAGAATTTCTAGAATTTCAAAGCATATCCTAAGCCATCAAATTTGACTTCTAATGCCAAGCCTTCAAATTTGACTTCTAATGGCTATAAGTAACCGTCATTGTCTACAAAAGATATCATTTATCTTTTGTACATGGAAGTCTCAATCATTATTGTCCCTTAAATTTCAAAAGGAAAATGGTTTTATACTTCCCCTACAACATATAAGATCTATGCTTCCGCTACCATCCAACCATCTAATTTTGATTAAGTAAGCCACTCAACGTTTAATCCTACATCCAACGCCTCAAAGTATTTTATTTTTAGGTTTTTTTAATACATATTGTATGAATATGAAATTTGATACATCTCATCTTCCCATTGGGGTGCACATATAAGAAATATTAAAATTAATTTTTCAATAAAATATAATGATCAAAATACCCCGTAAAGCTTTCAGGGGTATTTTGATCTTTTTATTTTATTGGGAATATTATTTTTATATTTTTTTACAAGTGCAAATTTAAGAGAGGACTAGACGTCCAAAATTTGGTGCAAAACTGTTTAATATTAAAAATATTAAAAATAAAATACTGTAGAGACGTGACATTGTGATTGGGGCAATCTTAGCCCTCCATTCAGAATGAAGGGTTGGATAAGGGGAAGCATATAAGTTTTATGTTCTAGGGGAAACATAAAAAGTTTGCCCATTTCAAAACAGGTGGTTAAGAGTATTATAAAATAGACACAAAGTTCCAAAAAAATAAAAAATCATAGTTCGTAAGTCACCCTAAGTCATCAAATTTATAAAATAATGATTGTAACCCCCTTGTATAAAAGATAAAAGGAAAAATTTATATAAAGTTGCAATCTTAAAATGTAGAATTACATATGCACCTCAAAAATCTATCGAAAACGTTGTTTTAGTGTTGAAAGGCCCTCCAATTGATCATCTCGACATCGAGATGTATGAATATTAAAAAAAAAAAAATGTTTTTGAATCCCAAGAATAGTGCATCTTACAACACATTATCTAGACCATCCATTTTCAAGATTTTCATATATTTATAGATCTACTTCATTTTAGGCATTTTTTTATTTTAATTTTTTCTAATTAGATATGAAAATAGATTTTAAGATAATCCTGAGAATTTTTTACAACAAATTTACATGTTATGATAAAATTTGGAGGTGTGCCTTAATTGGATTGTTTAAAGTTGCAACCTTATAGAAATTGCACCCAAATATAAATAGCACCCAAATATAAATAGCATCTTTGTAGACAATCCCTAAAAAGAAATGGGGTTATATATGAGACTAATTATCTTTGTTACAAGGATGTCACAACTACAACAAATCGTTAAATGTCAAATTGAATGGTTTAGGATGTACCACAAAGTTCGAAAAAAAAAAATTGAAAGTTTCAATCTAATCAATGACATGCTCACAACCATCGGATTTAAAATCTGATAGAAAAAAGTGATTGTAACCTCCATGTATTAAAAGTAAACGGTCTCTTTATATACTCTTGTAAAATAAATTGTCTCGTAGTATACCATCCTATTATTTATTTAGTAAACACCAGCCCAAGAAGGCGTGAAAAATCTAAACAGCATTTTAGAGTGAGAAAGCCTTTAACTTTCTAGAGAGAGAGATCCAAAGCAACGTTTATGAATAAGCTAGATGGAAGGAGGAAGGGAGCCACCCATAAATGCTCGTTCAAGTGCATCCATCTTTTAAAATCTATTTAGAGATGGATTTTGGATCTAAAATTAGCAGGTGGAGATCGATCGTCAAGATCATGAATTCAGAACAAAATAAATAAATTTGAACCCTAAAAATAATTTGTTTCGAGCTCTTTTTCTTCTTTTTTTTAAATAGACTTCATTTGAATTCTTCGCACTTCATTACCTAATTGTTCAAGCTGCACAAGCGTAGATGTCAAACAGAAATGCACTTTCAGTGAATAATGAAGACCGACACAGTTAGATGGAGTTTGCTTATATCAAGATTTTTAGACCTTCTCGAATCCCCTAAAATCAGTTCTACAAAAAAATGAGTTGAAGCTCAAAAAAAAAGAAAAAAAGGAAAAAAGGACCCTCCAAATCAAAACCCTCTCATTGGAGGAACTATCAAATTAATTATATTAACTTGATTTTCTTCAAATTTTCACCACATGGATCCAAACATGATATGCGAATTTTCAGATGAAAAAACATCCCTAAATATATTTAGGTGCTCAGTCTAGATCATATAATTATTTTCCAAGTATAAGAATGCTCAATATCTCAGTAAAACACCCTCTCCTTTATTAGTAATAACAAATCATTCCCAGGCAGGGATACTATCAAGTCATTTGCCAAGGCATTGACGCAAGGTTACAACCAGGGCCTAGAGACACATACACACACAGCATAAATATCAAAGTGACAAGATTGATAAATAGATACTCAGAAAAATAACATATATGACATTCTCATACAATAAATCATAAATTAGAGCCTTTTTTACGTGGACCATAGAATAATAAGCATATATAGGAATAAGTTGGCAAAAGACACAAATTGCTTGCCTTGTATACGTAATGTAGTTTCATGGTCATCGTTGCCATTGTTTATTTTGCTGGGCTCCTTCCACACTCTTCCTAAAAATGGAAATGACTTCAGCTGGCTCTTTGGCACCAAATATTGAACTTCCAGCCACAATACAGTTTGCCCCAGATGAAGCTGCCAATTCAATTGTAGAGGGGCCTAATCCACCATCAACCTGAGATAGCACTCCATCGTATAAGTAACAACATCGTGCGTGCGAGGGAATGCGAGGGAAAGCGAGAGAGAGAGAGAGATTTAACACTTCAAGCAAACATGGTGGCATCACTAAGGTCACTGCCTACTGTGAAGAGACTTTTTAAAACGTTTTGATCATTGTTCCAGTACTCAACAATGACCAAACCCTTATTGGTAAGATGATAACGTGAACTTTTTAAAACAATAAAAAAGGAAAAAAGAAAAAAAGAAAAAGATAACGTGAACCTTTTAAAAAAGCAACGCAAAGCAACTCTAGTATCCAACTTACTACAAGTTAACTCGAACATTAAAGGTACTTTATTTAATATTGGAAAGCACAGAGATGGTAGTCAATCACAAAAATAGTATTATCAACAATTATTATATACTTCCTAGCCATGAAAGTATGCCGGAGATTTGATTGAACGAGCCTAACACCAATGAGAAGACCAGGATCCTTGGAAGCAATATCCATTTTATATACCGTACAGAAAACATTGATTTCCTTTTCCTCCATACATATTTATCAAACAAAAAATTAGGAAAAAGAGAAGTTCATGACAATGTATTTGACATAATGCCACTTGCACATTGATTTGGCTATGAATCCGGGTTCCAAAAACTAGCAATCATTTCATCCATTAGAGATCTAAAAAGGGGGATCTCCCAAGCAAGAGTAGATTCTTTTTTTTTTTTTGAGGAAGTGATGACTATCCATGCAAGAGTAGACTTGATCCATTAAATATACAGTCCTACATTCACACTGAAAATATGAGTTGCAAACTAATAGAATGTAACTTACAATTATTCGAAGTGTAACTTGAGAACACAGGTTACTCTTCTTCCTCCTTTTTCTTTTTTGTTTTTGGTGTTCTTGTCTTTTGGGTAAAGTTGCATGATACTTTTCAAATCTAATATGATTCTTGCATAATTATTTTTGGCACATGTAAACACAGCACAAAGTAGTAGCATTCCTTGTATAGATAGAAGTGAGTTTTTATGACAAGGAGCAATGAAAAAAAGGGATTGCATATAATAGATCTCAAAAATAGATGGTAGCCAATCACAAAAATAGCATTATCAACAATTATTATATAATTTCTAGCCATGAAAGTATGCCGGAGATCTGACTGAACGGGCCTACCATCAATGAGCAGACCAGGATCCTTGGAAGCAATATCTATTTTACATACCGTACAGATAACATTGATTTCTTTTTCCTCCATACATATTCATCAAACAAAAAATTTGGAAAAAGAGAAGTTCATGACCATGTATTTGACATAATGCCACTTGCACATTGATTTGGCTATGAATCCAGGTTCCATAAATTAGCAATCATTTCATCCATTAGATATCTAAAAAGGGGGATCTCCCAAGCAAGGGTAAATTCTTTTTTTTTTGAGGAAGTGATGATGATCCAAGAAAGAGAAGACTTGATCCATTAAATATACAGTTCTACATTCACAATGAAAATATGAGTAGGAAACTAAAGGATTTGGATTAACTTAGGAGCTAGAATGTAACTTATAAGTATTCCAATGTAACTTGAGAACAGTGTTTTAAAATGCAGGATGCGGCCCTGATGCGGTGGGGGGCTGATGCAGCGATGCGGCCCGGATGCGGGTCCATCGCGATGATGCGGTCAATAAATGTAAAAGAATTTTAAAAAATCTAAAAAAATAAGTTAACGCATAAAAAAAAATATAAAGGTGATATATGTGATAGTAGGTATTTTAGTTTAACGATTAACTTCAAAACTATTAGCTGTCGGAGATTCTGTATCCAGTTATCCACTATCCCATGATAGAAACTTGAAACCAGCTTCATAAAGCATTCAACAATCAACAACCATCAACACAAATTTGCACCATAAGCACAAAATAATGATATTACAAAATACAAATCAAAAGTCAAGCTCAAGAAGAGTTAATAGTTAATAAATAATAGCTTAATACAATCATCCACTTTGAGAGTCAATTTCGAATTTGAACTTCATTTTTTCAAATATCAATCAGACAAGTCATCTTGAGAGTCGTCATGCGCATCATTAATATCATCCTCGACGGCCTCCATGTATTCTTCTTCATTGGTCTCCTCTGAGTCAGCTTTCTTCTCGACCTCTAAAGCTAATGTGCGAGTGCGACTAGACCCAGCAGCTCCTCTACTCCTTTGTTCTCTAGTGTTAGGTCGATCTTCCTCATTAGCCCCTGTTGCTAGCTCGATATCAAGCCATATAAGATCCTCACCCTCAAACACACGCTCTTGTCTTGGATCCATGGTCCACTCACTTATGAAATCACCATCAGCTTCATATAATTGAATAGGGTTGAGGTTCGTGCAATTTTCATACCTCTCCCTGAGCTACTCGTTATACCGCACATAAACCAAATCATTCAACTTTTTCTGCTCCAACCTATTTCTTTTTTTTGTATGGAGCTGTGGTAGAAATTTGAAATCAGATAAATTAGATTTTAGATTAGAAAATTGAAATTCAAGAAATAAGGATTAAGGAATAAGGAATAAGGAGTAAATGACTTACATGCTCAAATGCACTCCAATTGCGCTCACAACCAGATGAGCTACATGTGAGATTCAACACTAGAATAGCGAGACGTTGTCGATTTGGTGTCTCGCTTCCATATAATGCCCACCATGTAGCTGTATAATATTTTATAATTTAGAATATAGTTAAAAATTAAAGGTATAAAATAAACAATGGAATCATACATAAAGTAAGAGATAAGTAAGATTATTTTTGGGCTTTTGGCCTTTGCTTGGATCCGTAGTGTCCCTATTTCGAGTGGCAATATCTCTCCCAAAGTTTCCCAAGGCTAACTTGAACTTAATCAATTCATGGCTCTGGATCTCATCCTGAATATCTTTGTCTGGCACCAACCTCTCTGGCACATCTAAGAACCTACCATTTATTACACGATCTGACTCAATGGATGGGTGCTTGTAGTGAAGAGATGGGTTTAGAAAATAACCGACTGAATGGAGGTGCCGATATAGCTGGGTATCCCATTTCCTATCAATAATTTCAAGTATAGCCTTGCGCATATTTTCAAAATCCTTTAAAACATATTTTATTAAGTTCTTGCTCTAGTCATTGCCTCATGTATGTAGCCCATGGCGGGCTTCGCATCACCATCAACCAGTCGAAGCACTCTCACTAAAGGGCGAGCCACCTCCAATGCGATAATTATTTGACTCCAAAAAGATGTATTCAAAATAAGTTTTTCAGCCTTTCTCCCATCCTTATGCTTTGACCATTTGCTTTGACTCCATTGCTATGAAGCAAACATGGTCCTCAAGGCATTTTTTTCTTGGCTAGGCTTCAAAGAGTGAGAAATGACGTGGCAAATCTAGTGATCCCCGGTCTCACTAATTCTCTCTTCTTTGTAAAAAACCTCATCATGCTTAGGACAATGGTGTAATTGTAAATAAATCCAACAACAAGCATAGCTCTTGATAGCACCCCACTAAATAAAGATGTTGTACCCATTTCCTTAAGCATAAGATTAACACAGTGAGCTACACAAGGAGTCCAAAACATATGCTTCCTTTTCAAAGTCAAGAAATGCCCAACTGCAGCATAGTTGGCACCATTGTCAGTGATAATTTGTACCACATTTTGCTCCCTAACAAAATCGACAATCTCATCCATCAAGCCAAATAAGTATGTACTATCATGTGACTTGTCTGATGCATCAATAGACTTAACAAAAAAAGTACCTGTTGGACAGTAACCAAAAAATTAATGAATGCCCTTGATTTCCCATCGGACCAACCATCACACATAATAGTGGCCCCATATTTCTCCCACCCTTCTCTTTGAGAAATCAAAATTTTATTCACATCAAATACAACATCCTTCAACAAGGGCTCCCTAACCTCATGTAGTGAAGGAGTAATAAGTCATGGGTCATATTGCCCAATTGCCTGGACCATACATGCAAAACTATCCAGAGTTATAGTATTAAAAGGAATGCCGACCATGTAAATCCACTTTGCAATCCACTTACATACCGACTTCCTTTGTTCTTTCTTATATTTATTGTCAATTGTGGTTAGTTTTATTTTTTTCTTTCTCTCCTGAACCACAATTTCGAGGTTAGGGGTGAAAAACGAATCCATTGGCCCCTTAGAGAGAGGAGTTCTTCTCTCAGCACTACCACCAATATTTATAACCCTCTCTTGAGGTTGGAGGATGAGTACCCGTTTGCCTCATAGCAACTTCAAACATATCATCATCATCATCATCATCATCAACATCATCAAATAATTGCATATCATCAAGTAATTCCTTTCTTTTCTTTTCTTTTTTCTCTTTACTTTTTTCAATCTATCCAAATATTCTCTAATCTCCTTTTTTATATCATTTGTAGCTTGTGGCCATGCTCTTACATTCCCAGAAATTCCGGCTAAATGCTCTTTTTGTCGAAAACTACCACTCATATAAGTATTTCCACAGAGCAAGCATATCACACAATTTCTATCTTTCGGATTTTTTAGTTTAGCATATTTCCAAGCCGGATCCTTGTTACTAGAAGATTGGGAAGAAGACATTGCCTCAAAAATAAGTATAACAATATTATTGTACAAGAAGGAATAAAAAGTTACTGACTCTGTGAAGTAGTGCTCGATTTCTTAACGGGTTCTGAAATCCCCAATTTCTTATCACAAATTCACCTTAACATCCCCAAATCAACAACCAAAGGCATCAAATGAACATCCAAGTATCAAAGAACCGCCAAATCCAAGATTTGGATGAAAAACAAATTTTTGCCAATTTTTTTTTTCCCCTCGATTTGATGCAAAAAAAGCCACAAAAGTGTCCGGAAATCTTTGTTTAAGGGGTATAATAACCCCCCAAACAGTTTCCCTAAACTTTGGAACTACAAAAAGACCATTTTGCCCCTCCCCGAGGGGCAAAATCGAAATTTATTTCCGTGGAAACACATGCGGCACGATGCGGGATGGGGCCATGATGCGGCCTGATGCGACGCATATGCAGCCGCATCTGTCAAAAGCGCATATACGCCAGTTCGCGATGAGGATGCGAGCGCATCCCGCATGATGCAGCCGCATTTTAAAACACTGCTTGAGAACACATGTTACTCTTCTTCCTCCTTTTTCTTGTTGGTTTTGGTGTTCTTTTCTTTTGGGTAAAGTTGCATGATGCTTTTCAAATCTAATATGATTCTTTCATAGTTATTTTTGGCACATGTACACAGCACAAAGTAGTAGCTTTCCTTGTATAGAATAAACGTGAGTTTTTATGACAAGGAGTCAGTCACATACTTGAGACGAGTTTTTATGACAAGAAGCAATGAATAAAAGGGATTGCATAGAATACATCTCAAAACATAAAAACATATTCCATCATATATAATGATTCCAAGGAAACTACTGAGACAATATCAAGAAGCTGAGAGAGAGATCCTATATATATTCCATCATATATGGAGATTCTCTGGAACCTACTGAGACAATATCGAGAAGCCGAGAGAGAGAGAGAAGAGCAAGAGAGAGAGAAAGCGAGAGAGAGAAAGATGCAAATCATGCATTTTTTGATGTGAAAGTTATAATACCTCTATATCGAGGGATGGGTATTTCTTTCTCAATGTGCGCACCTGCCCAACGCCAAAGTGATAAAAGGCCATGAAAAGTGATCAGTCAATATGAAGAAAAAAAGAGGAACACAAATTGTTAACCTGGCATATCTGACAAACCTTATCCATCATTTCTGGCATGAACTTCTGCCCACCAAAACCAGGTTCCACTGTCATTACTAGGACAATCTGTACAGGCTCCTCATCTTCTATCTAGCAATAGTTAAAGAGAACTAAAATTAAGCACAGCTGCCTGGTTTACATGGACATTTGCACAATCTAGCCATTAGATGGTAAGATTTTCTTTTTTGAAAAGGCAGTTAAGAGGGGAAGACTAATGTCATCCAGAAACCATATGCATTGTATTTTGATTACTTCATATTGAAGTTAATCACATTAGCAGTCTGTATTCAAATTTCAAACTAATTTTTGAGATAAAGCTTTGATCCCCAGAAGCTTTCTGAGGCCCTCTACAGGTATTTCAAGAATACCCATAAACAATCAAAGGAACAGAGTCGAAGTCAATGGTGCTTTATAGCCCATGAAGCCTCAGCTGATGTAAGGGCTCGATCATGACCCATAATTAATCTTCAGTTCTGCTATTGAGCTCATGGAGAAACAGTATGAATTCTTTATTCATGGGAGCTAGAGAAGCACCAGCAATCTATCATGGCCACTAGGGTACCCCAAAGCCCAAAACATTTGTTAGGTCCCCAGGTCTTCCAAGAGCTTGTGTCTGGGTCACGTACTAAGTTAAATCCTAGATGCTAAACCAAACATTGTGAAGAGAGTACGGGCAGTGTACAATCACCTTAAGAAGACAAAATGAACCCAAGGTCCTAGATAAATTATATATGAAAGGAAACAAGCTAAGTAGGAATAAGAGTTTCTTAATTTAAATTTATTAAAAACAGAGTCTTTCAATTTAAAAGTGAGGTAGAAGATTGTAAGTCGATAGGAACAAGTATGGATATTAGCCCCTTGTGAATCAGAACTGATATATTTGCACCTAAATAGTTGCATTACAATTGTTTCCTGAAAGGCTAAAACCCTTGCAAAAAAAAAGGACCAAGTTCAGCATATCATAAATAAGAGCAGAACAACCACAGATACGCTTGGAGAGGAAGGAAGACACCCTTTTGGATTTCACATAGGAAGATCCATAACTAGATATCATACAAATTAGTCTCAATCATTTCATCTCTATGTACTTCTTGTATTTGCTCTTTCTTTTAATAGAAGTTCTGTTGCCAATAAAAAATCCCAAATTAATGATATTGAGAGTTACAATAAATTTCAGTAGAAGAAATGAACCTTGTGATGGGTATTAATATTATGTTGGTTTTAATATGAGATAACTGAAACATAAAAGTAAAAAAGTCACTTTTTATCAAGTGTTTCTCTATGAAAATTGGCTTGCAAAATTGCAAACGCTATAAATTACAACACCATGAAGAACCAGTGAGGTGTGAACACAAGAGCAAGCACCTTTCAGGAGCAGCACCTAAGACCAACCACACCCCAAAGCCCAAAATGAAAGCTCTCACATGAAGCTATCAGAAGTTGAATGACTCTCACAATTGAAGCATTCTCTGTAAGGTTGCCCATGCCCAGAGGTAGACGTCCTAGGCAGGACCCTTACAAGTCTATTTTCAGTGGTATGAAATTATCCTGTTCTTCCACTTTATAAATTTATCCTGTTATTCCACTTTACCCTGTTCTTCCACTTTATAAAATTCCACTTTATAAATTCAAAACAATCCATTAGGATGAGTTCTTGAGAAAAAATAAAGCTAGTTTCGGACTTTGTTGGCAGTTGCACCAAGAGAACATATACTATCACAGTTCAAACCTGCGACAAACGAATATATATTATAACCACCTAAAAGCTGAGGCCATGAGATTGTCTGATAGATAAGAGACAGGAAGGCAATAGGTTGCAATTGAACATAAAGCTGCAAGTTTGGCTTGCAAACTATGATGATGGATATGGGACTTGTATTTGCACAGTCTATAAGATCGCCATTAGAAAATATGATGATGAGAAGAGATGGTTTTATATCGTTGCAGTTTTGGAACTGTGACAGTCAATACACACGCACTTATCTATATATGTGTGTGTGTGTACATACATACATGCATACATATATACATATATATGTGTATGTGTATGTATGTGAGTGCGTGTGCACATACATACATACATATGTGTATATGTGTGTGTACATACATACCTATAT